CTAACCAACCGGTGCTGTGTCCACCCTGTGGAATTCAACACTTCTGACAGTCGAAATGCCCTGGAGACCTCTTCTGCTCATAGACCCGTTAAGGTTCTAATGACAGCAATAAACTAGTCTTCATGTTGAGTTTTTGATGTTCTAGCCTGAGAGTGGGCCAGAGATCGAAGACTCGGTTCCAGTGGTTTTGGAGCTGCAGCTCTATTTCCGACTGATTAGCCCATTGGGGTCCAGTTAGGCTAACCGATGTAATGTCCTACTGAGAGTCATCAATGAGCGCTTTCTCATGAAATGTTAACTAAAATTCTTAAGTGTTATTTTTCGATTAGAAAAAATTACTCATGTCAAGGTCGTAACACCGACCATCACGTAGAATAATGCAATGATATTTTAGATAAGCCAGGATCCCAGATCTTGAAAGGGCCTCTTTTCAGCCGCCTGAAAATACCACAGTCAGTAAAAATGACTATTTACTTAATATAACTTCTTTTCCTTGATTTTGGATTTTCAAATATGTTTTAAAGAAACCATGCAAAAAGTATTCTGACTTGTACTGATTTCGTCTCCTATGGTCTCCTAATGAACAACCAAAAATCAGGTCGGTGTATTTTCCGACTGCGGTCCTCTCCTAATCCTGAATCCTCTGACATCCTTCCTAACGAGGCGTTACTTTATCATCAACTCTTTCATTTTCCCTCCATATTGAGTCCCTGGTTAATAAATTTCGTAAACTTCTTTATTACATTCGTCGTTTACGTTCCTGCCACACACCTCAACCCCTAGTCTGACGATCCATCGATGCCTTCATTCTTCCTCTTATCCTATACTGCTCTCCTGTCATTTTTCCTGCTTTTCTCAAAAAAGTTCTTTTTATTTTAAAACGAGTCCTCCAAATGCTCTCTTCTGTCGCTGGTGTTTCTTATCTTTTTTGGTCGACACTATCCTACAACGACATTTCAATACGGTCAAGCAATTTGCTGGTCGGATTATAGTTGACGTTGCCCATCTCTTGCCTTCTGATCTTATTTCTACGAAGTCTTCCCGCTCGACGCGCCGCAGCTTCCGACTTATGTCTTGTCGCACATCGGCTTTTCGAGCTTCTGTATAGCCATTCCTGGCGCTCTATCTTACGTGCGAAGAGATAGAATTACAGAAACTAAGACTTGAACTGTCCTCATAATAACCGTTCCATTTGTATAAAACTTTTTGACTGGGAAATAACCACTTAACTTATTTACTCGCCATATTGAATGGAGCCACTTTTTTGTTAAAAATTTTGAATTAATGATTTCAAAATAAAGCGATTTCCTTTTTCTCTCTCTCTCTCTCTTGGCAGCAAACTACATCTTCAAAATTTGTGCTTAGGAAAATGGCGTTCTGGTCCAAAAGGGATTTCTAGTAATAAGATTTTAGGACCATTCACAAAGCTTCGTATCTGCCCATTTATTAATTCTGCTTATAAAGTTTGCAAAGTGGTTCACATTCATTGCATAGAAAAATACAGGACGGATGTGGTTTGGTAGGCCCACCTGAAGTAAGCAAACCCCAGTCACCTCTAATACGGGACCACTGGTAATAGGGCTTTTTACAGTTGGGGCCGGGAACGCACAGGCGACAAGGTCAAATAGTTGTATGCAAAAGAAAAGTTTTATCGAGGGGAAACTATCCAAGGTTAGGCAAAATTGGACATTTCCGATGTCCATCTAATTTCCTATGCTATAGACGTTCACCTATGGAGCCCTCTCATTTGTGCGCATTACGTTGTAAAAGAAAACTCATTTAAGCAAGAAGAATTTCAAAGAAATCTATTCTGGAAACGGAACTTGTGATTTTTATTTCATGAAAATCAGGTGAAGGCAGGTTCAGAAACGCATTCCTTTCCTGAAACAATAGGCAATTTGCCTTTTAAAAATTCTTTTTAGCAAAATTGTAATGTTTTATGTCATGAAACGCAGTGATCAACTTGCAGGATAGTATTTGTCTTACCACACCGGATACATAGATTGCGCGCTACATTCTGCCGCCTTTCTATGCCACATCGTGCAACAATAATGTCAAGGTAATTCCTATCGAAAATCGATTTTGAGCGCATAAGAATATCGGGAGCCGAAGGGCTGCCGCATGAGTCTACAGCTAGTATTTTCGATATTAGACGGATCACTCTGTGGAAGATTATTTACAACAAAACAGTGCCTAGAGTTAAGCAAATTGGACTAAAACGATCCACAAGTAAGCAAGGCGACGATTTTAGTAGTCGAACACTCTTAAGGCTATTCGAAGACACCATCTGTCAATTACCTCTATGGGCACATTCAGGATCAGAATGAGAGACTACGGACTCCATCAGCAAAATGCTATGACAGGGCCATTTTTAAATATGTAACTAATTAGAAAACGTTTTTTATTTGCTCAGGAATATATCAATAGCAGGTTTTCATTCGGGAAAAGCATTTTCATATGTGATGAAGTTTTATTTTTAGAAAAACCACCGAAGTCGACATAGATTGTCGTATGTGGGGAGAACTTCCCATAAAAACACATTCAGTCGACAATAATATTCAAGTACTGCCGATGCCTGATGGTCCGGATGGCCATCAAATTCGAAGAGCGCCCGATTTGGCGGTCGGCAACAAAGGACCGTTAACAGCCAATGCATTGGACTACAACGGCTTTCATCGACGTCGAATGGATATCATAGTCTTGCAGGATAATGTAATCTGTTCACCGCTCAAAGGCGGTATGATTCCGATTTAGATTACAACGACAGTCTTTTGCTTAAACCACATCCAGCCTCACCGCCTGCAGCCTGAAATGTTTATTTATTCCGGCGAACGATCCGGACCTCAATCCAATCGAAAATCTTTTTGCTCTAATAAAAAGAAACTAGACCAAGCCAAGTAAACAAGTTTACATGCAACGAAAGCCGGACTCCGTGCTTGACAATTATACTGAACAAACCACCATCAGCAACCTTATTGTATCTATGTCCTCTCGAATCGCACTGAGGATAAAAGCAAAAGGACACTCAACAACGCATTGATATGTTGTGCTTCTTACTGATTTTCGTCGTTTCGTTACATTATATTGTACTCCTAAGTGTTACGTTATATATAGTCTTAAGTAACTGACCTGTCATAAAGCCATTTTTCTGATTTGATATTTTTTGCCTGAATAACTTATTTCATAGTTAATAAATAGTATTTCTTAATTCGGACAATGCCCTATTTTAAAGATCAGTCTCTTCTTTGACATTTTTCAACTTTTAAGGATATGGGACGGGCGAATCGTACTTCAAAAAGATTTTTGTGAGAAGTTTGTGACCTTTCCTCCGGTAGATCACGAACTTCATAATTTGAAGAACGCCTAATTTGCAACCAAATGAGTACAAGACACAATCTGTTACACGACCTATACACACTTTATTTGGATTTATAGGGGCATTGAAAATCAATGAGAAAAGGTCATACCAGACAGGTAGTCATTTTTTGCAGAGGGAAAGAGGCTGGAAAGAGGCTCATTCAAAAGCCGGCATCTTGACGTGACTGGATTATCTTCAGATTATGATGCAAGATAATTACAACGCTACTTATGTACTCTCATCGAATCAAAAACGCATTTTAGAATTTCGGTTAGGTTTTCATGAGATAACACATTCACTATAGGTAGCTCGGTAAATCTAACAGCATAAGCTGTTCGCGACGTCACCTGCAGAACACACTGAACGAGTGATGTTGTCATTTCTTTTAACTACTTATGAATTAGGGTCCTACTATGGTTTTCAGTTTTCTTTCTTGCCTACACTATCGAGAGGGGCTTACTTTCGAGGAAGACGGCGGTCGGGCTCGGTAATTTTTGTAAGGACGCCCTCCAGCTGATTCAACCACACGCCTTAGAGTTGTTCCTGTAGTATTTTTGTGCAATTTCTATACAACGACCTCCATCAGTGTTCCGCATATTGACGCCTGCCCACGCACTCCATTATAAACGACGTACGCATCCACAAGATTGATGTTTAACCACAGGTGTCCACTGAGCACCTTCAACACCAACATAATATGTTGACCCTTTTAAACAATTATAAATGAACAGAAACGTAATCTGGTCAGCTGTTTGACGCAAAGGGCTAGGAAAATCTGTCCGGCAGACAGCGCTGATGAGGAACTTAAAAGGATCCAGGACCTGCTTCACGAGAACGGGTATCCTGACAGATTTATTGTAAGAAATCTTGCTGAGCTACCGGCAAAACTCATCACACCGAACGCAGAGAAGAAAACTCTATTCCTCGAAGTCTCTTTTCAAGAGGACGCGGCGAGTAAACTCCTGTGAAGGCGCCTTTACCAAACCGTTTTATGGACATTCCCGGCAATAAGACTTAAACTATCGTTTCCGACCAATCCCGTCCTACGCGGGTTAGGTAAGGATAGGCTACCAGCTCAGACCACCCCCATGTGCATTTGCTCTTTTGATCAGAAGAAGAAGCGATCGCTGGAACAATGGCTTTATTCGCCTGACGTTTCGGATTCTCTCTTGAATCCATCATCAGAGACAGTTGCAGAAAAGGGTGGCTAGTGTACAGGAAGTCGCAGTATTTATAGGATGCGGTCGCCATGCTGCCGCATACCTACAGCAATTAACCATCAATTTGTACTTTGCACTTTGCTCTTTTACTTGTTCCTGTGGAGCAGGCTGCATTGGTCGTACGAGTCGGCGCCTATCCGCAAGAATACGAGAACACCTGCCGGCATGGCTGAGGAAGGGTGAAGTTAAGAGCGTACACAGCTCCATCCTCGCACACATGGTTGATTCTGGGCATCGTGTGGAGCCCAACGAAGCCTTCCGTGCGATTTACAAGGTCCCGCCTAACTACCCCAAGGGAATGAGTCAGCGCATACTAGCAACAGCAGAGACAACTGCCATCAGGCTACAGAGGCCGGTCCTGTGAGCCCAGAAGAACCTCTTGCACGCGCCGTGTCTACCGTGGGCCAGGATCGAATGACTGTATGCAGGTCGCTGTGCCCCCACCCCCTTCCCTCTCCCCGCCCCTTGTGACACGTCTCAACCTGGCCCTCACTGTCACTGACCGCCTCCTCTCCTTCCCCCCCACTGTATTCATCTACCCCGTCTGTATGAAAGGATGAACCGTAATCAATTTCATTTATCACTCACACGTTCAGTTTGTACCTCGTTCCCATATAAATGTACAGGGTCGATGAGAATTTATCGAAAACACGCGTGAGCTCTCCAAGTGCACTGTTGAAATGTGATTAAATTCGCGTCGTCCGGTTGGCCTCGTAGCTCAGGTGGTTAGAGCGTTGGCTGAACTAAAGCCTTCCCCTTACTGTCGTGGGTTCGAATCTCACCGAGGCGCCGAGGTTTTCACAGTCGGGCTAATATGAATTATTCAAAATCTGCCAAAACATCTAGGTGAATTACTTAGAAAATCCTGCTCGGGCAGCCAACTTACTGTATCAGCCTTGGTGGGCTCCAGACGTTGCAGTAGGTTGGGCGGGTCGAGACGCCGAGCATTTTGCAGTTGGGTCAATATGAATCATTCAAAATCTGCCAAAACATCTATGAAATGCACACTAGTTGATCCCGAGGACTGCTCGGAAAACTTATGTTTTTTATAAATTCTCGTCGAACGAGGACGGCGAAGAGAATCGCGAAGGAGGCCTCGTATTTCGTTCTGCATGGAAGCTTCAGAAACTTTTACCGGTGGAAGGAGCATCTGGGTAACATGCTACAGCACCACAATGGACCTTGATCACTGGTCAAGAACCTATCCGAACCAGTACATTTATAGGGTTTGACTGTATATTTCTAACATTACAAGCTTCTGCACTGCCTATTTAGCTTTGAATAATATTTCTGTTGGTCGATTGTTCCGAATGTCGTCTTTTTTGAGAACGAAAGAAAGCATATGATAATTTTGCCCATACTTAACAACATAATTCCACGCTAGTTGCCTCAAAGAGCGTAGATAGGGGTATCTGGGTTCTTTTATTCTCAAAGGAATCCTTTGAGGTTTTGAGGCGCTCGTTCATGTCAAAAATAGCCGAAGCTTCTGAAAGAAGGCTCGAACACTACTTTTATTATTTCATTATGCAAGGCACTAAGACAAAGACATGAAACCCCAAGTGGCACACTGCCTCGGAACTTGCCGACCAGATATGCCGGCTGTTTATTCATTCGAAACCACTTCAGTCACATCATTTTCTCTCAGACTTCACCTTGCCCGATGTTCATTCAGTGTACTGAAGGTCGTTCGAGCACCTCGTCCATTGCCTTCCAACTCTGTCCACTGCTAGTGTACAGAGGAGGGCAAGAATATGCACTTTTAAACTGACTATGCTCTGACATCGGGCAAAATGGGGAGTGCGCAGTTCCTGTGAGTAATCATCGCACGCGAGAGACCTGGACGAATGCTTGAGGATGCCAGAAGCCAAGTCATTGGAAGGGGCAGTGCTAAAGATCGTTAACCCGCATCCCGTTGTAGGTTACGCCCTCAACGCACACGTCCACGATCCATGTGATCCCTGCGTCCTACTAGCACGTGATAGCGCAGCGATTGGTGGCGCCGGCATCTGCACGTTGCCTGTACGTTGGCCTTCTGCGGGCGGGCAAGCACGTGCCCGCCTAGCATCACGAGCGCGCTGGGAAAAGGTTGCCAAGGCAACGACCGAAGCGTCGACAGCATTTAGCTGCCACACCTCCCAATCGGTTCCGGCTGACAATTTCACCCAGACGTTTAGACCACCCACTAAATAAGATGCCCATTTAAAGTTGCTGTAGTTTGTTTGCTTGGTGAGCGTCCAAACTCAAGAGACAGTGATTAAGACTTGCAAACGCACTTTGCGATAGAAAAGCTTGCTGATATTAGGTGGAAATACTGATTACTATGAAACATAATAGCGAAGCACTGCATTCACAGTGGAATGTTACCTTTTAGCTCTTAACACCTATTCACGCCAGCCACACTCACAAAACAACCCCTCGATTAAAGTACCGTGATCTCTCCTCGATTGCGAGGATTGCGTTCCCGAACCCTCATGAAAAGTGGAAATCCGCGAAGTAAAAACCATATGTTTGATGGCTATTTTTATATGCTTAAGCCCTTATAACTCCTCCCACATTCTTATAAACACTTTTCACACAGTTATACAGCATAAAGCCGTTATATTCTCTTAGGTGTTAGGCAAGATTGGTCAAAATTGTGTACGTAAACACACTGCCTATGTACTACGCACAAATTTTCCCGCTGTATATTATTGTAGAGTTTTGCTTACTACGTAATATAGTGTGAAGCACACGATAGTAGTATACGTTTTAGTAAGAAATATAGCTAAGAACGTCCCGTCTGTGAAATCAGCTGGGCAAACAAACTAAGAAGGTGTGCATCAGAAATGGAAAGGCTCATTTTCCACAGAACTCTGCGATCCAGCGAAAACTCCGCTCCAAACTAAGTCCCTTTTTCGTTATGTTTCTTCAGTTTGCGATCAACCAGCGTGTACAGATAGACGTTTATCTGGATTACAGAACAAAAAATGACATTTGGTTGCCCAGAAAGGCATTTGCCACTTACTGGTTCCATGTTCCAAGCTTCTCGAGGTCTGCTTTGTTTAACCTATGCATCTCGACCGTAGTTTGCTTTGTATGCGTACGTGTGGGTTTCGAGTCGTTGGCATATAAAACGTTTCTGCTAATGTTGATATAAGCGAAAATTCATGTATTTGTATAAGAAGCATAAGGAGACGCGGTAGGATGACTGCTTTAGCGAACGTCAACTGGTAAAATACAGACAATGCAGACAGGAATGGTCTTCGTGAGCGGTCAAATGTACAGTAGAATTTAAAAATTGTGTTGCGTGAAGTAGACAGAAACATTCACGCCCGCCGGTGATTTGTCGTTTGGCATACGATACTTCTAATAATAATGATAATAATAATATCCACAAATTCCGAATCGGACGTTTGTGAAAACAGTTGTAAGCTCAGAATGAAGCAGTGGAAAAACCCCTGAAATTGGAAGTGAGGGGAAAGTTCAGGGAACCTTTGCTTTCAAAAATAATTCCAGAGGAAAAAAGCTGCTTTGTGAAGAAATGTGGAGGAGCAGGATAGATTCTTCCTGAGGATATGATGAAACTTTAAAGCCGTACGAAAAACTGAGAACGAGGAGTCATTTTAGTGCGCCTGGGGATACTAGGCGGTGGTAGATCCAAAGTGAAGCCCAAAATGCGGGTGGAGCCTCGACACCCCGGTGGCCAGAACGGAGTCCTGTTGAGGATAAGGGGCGAACGAAACGGAGTTGGTTACTTCGTCAGGCGGTTTGTTAGGGAGGACTTCGCGTGTTGTGAAGGCCAATTTACATGACTGAAAAATCGAACTCTCTGATGAGAGACCGTAGCAAGCGAAACCCCGCGCGATTGGGGGAATGCGAGCAATTAGGGCAATATGGCGGGGACGTCCAAATGCCTGATGATCCTTGTCCAGCGCCAAGGAGAAAGCTGCTCTGGAAGGATGAGGGAAAAAAAGGCTAGTCGAGTCGGTGTTAAGACAAAAGCCCAGTCTTTTAAAAGCACGTAGACTGCTTAATGATTTAATATCGATTGGCAGGTTATTTCAGAAAAAATATGCCTGGAAGCCAAGAAGAGAAAGCGTTTGTAGGTGGAGGGGGCAGGAGGAGGTATAATCAAGGGAGAATTACGGAGATGGTATGGACGACTACCACGGATAAGAGGTGAAGCCCGAGGAAGATTTGAACTACTAATAATGAGGAAGAAGACAGGAGTCAGTTTCTGTTTTCGAACTAATATGGATTTTTGGTCAGTTAGCAGACATCTACTTCCAAAGGAAGTATTTTTGATGTGTCACAACCAAGAATTTTCCAGTAAAATACCTTTGGGCATTTCCGAATGTAGCTCTGTTACCCTCGTTTATTAAACCAAAGAATAGGCGGCAGTATTCAAGAAGGATGGCATGCGAAAACATCTTAATTTAATTCCAGAGACGTAAAAATTTCAAGAAACAAAGCCACAACTTTGGGCGGTTTTGTTTAGGACGAAATTCTGATGAGGTTTCCGTGTATTTTCTATGCTCGTACAAATCTAATCATGGCGCGTCCTTTTTATATTTAAGGCCTGCGGAAGGGCAGATCGCGGTTCCAACTAATCCTGCCGGCACATGATCCCGTGAAGATAGTCAGGCTCCGAATGACCGCAATGAGCTGAAATTCGAAAAACAACAGGAACGAGTGCCAAATATGGGGAAAGAATATTTTACTTACAGTCATTGAGTAGTTAAAGTTCTCTGGGCTCAAATACTTGCTCGTCTTGTCTGGAGGTTACTTATTTGTGCGATGCGTTAAAGCCCGCTCGATTAAAGGTTTCTTCTCATACGCACTACGCAGGGGCTATGCCCGCGTCTTTCTGATCTGATATCTTCTGCTCGCTAAATGCAATTCGCCTCTGTTCAGTGTAGTTATTATTACAAATCTTCCTAAAGTATGAAGTTGATTTGCACTCTCAGTGGAATGCTTTTGTTTTCTCGTGCCTACGGTACGCAGGAATCATCAAAAGGACATACTCTGGTTGGCATAAGGAGAGCACAGCTAGTGCGCCTGTGCTGTCGGGCAAAAGTCGCAGCAACGAACGTCATCGTCGGGGGTGAATGCCTGCCGTCTAATTTGCGTGAAATTTTTTCACGGTCGTCAATCCGCCCTAAATGCCTTTTCACACCTGGCTGGCCTGAGAAGAAGCGCCTTTATTTTTAGACTGCTTTGATCTGGTTGCTGTTTGGTTTTTTAAGGATTTGTACGGAAGTGTTAATCCGGTTTCACACTTCCAGCTGGAATGCTGGCCCACCGTTGTGGACGACATGTTTGGCCCCTTCTTCGTGGTAAGTGATGCGTGCAAAAAGTGACAGTCATGCCAAGATTTGTGTCCAATTAGGACGGGTGCAATTATCGTGACTGTGCCCCTAACGAGGGCTATGTTTGAAAACCTTAATCCCAATGCATTTCAAAATCAATCATGGACAACATTCTTATTGTTGACAAAAGATAAAATTATCAGACTGCTCAGGTTATCACTGGACAAATGGCAATACGAAATGATTCGAGTTTCAAGGACGAATGGGCAAACAAGACTTAAATAAAACAACTGTGTTAAGCCAGTCAACTCTCATGCAAAGCTCCTATGTCTAACTACTTGCTCCAGCTACTGCGTTCCCATTGGTAGGTCCCTAGGACTTCTCTTGGAAAGCCTGTCTGGGTTCCGAAGAAACCGCGTAACCACTGACATGGCCTTCGCCATTGCCAGCTGAAAGATAAATGCCAGGAAATGCGTACCCGCATCCATATTAGCTTCGTGGGTCCGACGAAGGCCTTCGACGAGGTGAATCGCGATTGAGTCTGGAAAATCGTACGGTGACCATGTCAATAGAGCAGGGCTTTGTGCTCGCCTCCACGCTCTCCAAACTCATGTTTTCTGTCATGCCGATAGACGCCTACCGTGATGAGCGCTCCCCGATCTACATCGTCTACAGGACCGAGGCCATCTTCCCACTAGCCGGCTCACACAGGCCCCAACGCGTCTATCCACAACTACTGTTCACGATCTGCTATTCACAGACGATTGCTTGTTCAAGGCAACGACAGAAGCAGAAGTGCAACGGAGCATGGACCTCTTCGCCACCGGGTGCACCAAATTCGAATCAGCGACTAACATGGGCAAGACGGTGGTAATGTATCAGCCATCACCCAACACTGCATACAACTACTCATGAATTACTGTCAACTGCACCCGAACTAAAACCCTTGGCAACATTGCCTACTCTTACACTGCATCAAAATCGATGACGAAGTGGCTATCCGATCTCCAAGGCCAGTCAGAACTTCTTTCGACCGGTTACAGAACACCGTATGGAATCGCCACAATTTCAACATCAAGAAGAAACTAGAGGACGTATAAGACAGTCGTCTTGACGACGCTACTGCACGATGTTACGACCTGTACAGTTTGCAATAAACATGCCTCGAATCCCAATCGATCCTACGTCAGTTTGTATTTAGAGAATACTGAAGCTTGGATGGCAGAACGAAAATCCCGTGACGAAAGTCTTTGAATGGACTGGAAGTTCCACCATCTATGCCATGCCCAGGCACCTGGAACTGAGAAGGAGCGGCCAAATCGTGTGGGTAGACGATGATCGACTCTTCTACGACAATATCGCAAAGGCTTCCAACCGACAAGAAGGTGAAACCCTCCGCTAAAAGGATACCTTGGAAATTTTTTGGACAGGTTAGAAATCAACCCAGAGACTCGGGAAGACGTCGACCAGGATCGACCGGTCTAGATGTGGGCAGTAAAGACTGCAGCAGGAGTGGGAAGAAAGGACTAGGTCGATGGTCTTAGCGCATATCCCTCACTACAAACAATCTGACGTGCTTGAAGCTATTTCGGCGAGCCAACAGATGGGGTAAGTCGGAATTCGCAGTCATCCCGATGTGTGTGTGTGTGTGTTTGGGTGGAGTGGCGAACTGTTGGACTGAGCCTCAGGCTGCAGTGGCTTCCTCTTAATGTGGCCTCTATGACACTCCCACTCAGCGGGATCAGAGTAGATTGTGGACCAGGAGGTGTGGTGGTACGCCTCGATGCGGGTTTTCAGTGTGCCTCTACCACCGCTCTACCTGCACCCGCGCCCTGTGCCGCCTCTGACGTTCTTGACTCTCTCTTGACACCGGATCCAGGTGCGGGTGGAGGAAAGAGTGCGGTAGGTGCAGCCCAAGTCTACTATCCCCACAAACGAATTCAGGCGGAAGTCGCCGTTCCTGCCGTCACCCTGTTGTGGAGCACACGATGGACATCATCAGAAACGACGGCTGAACTGTCAGACGTCCGTAGCAATATGCACAGTTACAATAGATGTGAATGCCTCCGATATACCCATCATGGCTAAGATATCGTATCGTAGCTAGGCCTTCCAGTGTGGTAGTCTGCACGCGTGAAAGCCGATCCCCAGGCGTAATGCTCCGAGTTTCGGGACGCTTTAAAAACAATAATTTTGCCACCTTTTTGGGCAAACAAGTTTCCTTTTTTTTACCATATAACCGTTTGGCTAACAGATATTAACACTGACGATATTTCCGCCGTTATGGTTCTTAGTCCCGCTAAAACAGCCTGCTTAAGGGCTTCGATGCCATGCTTTATCACGAACATTAACCAAATGCTGTTGTAGGTCGCCCCCCCCGGCACAAACTGTTTGGTTGACTTTAGCATGTACTTCGATTTCCCCAAAGGCTGCAGGCAAATGGCAGGATGCTCAGCCACGCATATGCTTGGGGCCAAAAGTGATTGCCATGAATAGAGAGGTGCAGCAGTTTGTTCATGGGGTTAGAGTAGGTAGAGTTTGTGTGGACGCCACATTCATTGACCTACCCTGGTCAAATAAACGAACGCGGGTTATTCCCTTTTGACTTACAGTACAGGTTTAGAACGAACACAAGCGGCCGCAAACTAGGCGCACCATGCAATCGAGATAAAGCACCGAAAGAGGCGGTGGAGTGCAATGCCAATTTCTGGCAAATATGACATTCACTTTGACTCAACTGTGAAAAACCCGGTGTCTCAGTGGGGTTCGAACCTACGACGAGTTTTTAACAGTTGTGTCAAAGTGTCTTATTTGAATTTTGCCAAAACACCTCTGAATTACGTGATCCTTGTAGTCATCTGGTAGATTCTACATGTATTAATTTGGAAATCCTGTTTGGGCAGTCAGCTTACTGTACCAGATGTGGTGGATTTCATACGTTAGAGTGGGTTGGACGGGTAAACTTGACCCAAATGTAATTACATTCGCGTCGTCCGGTGGGGCCTCGTAGCTCAGATGGTTAGACTCCCTGCTGTCGTGTGTTCGAATTCCATCGAGGCACCGAGTTTTCCACAGTTGGGTCAAAGTAAAATTCAAATATATTCTGCAGGTATGCACAAAACACATTTTCTTGTACTCATTTAGCGCCCTCTTTGAAGTTTAGGCCAGAGGAAAGGGCATGTTTCGGTTTCAACAAATTTTTTAAATTCCCGAATAATTTTAAATCCAAACAGTTGCTACACTTGCATGCTGGGTTTCCAAGCCACAAGCTGCATGTTTTCCGCGCAAGGAAAATCCTATATTTCTATAAGCTATGAATACCCCAGAAAGAGCTCATTAAGCTTTGCGATGGATGTGGGTCGTGTTGTGAATTTTCTAAGTAGCATTAATAACTGGACAGATACGATGCCTCATGCATGGACATTTCCTGGACTTAAGAGTCTCGAACTGCCGGACTCCGATCTAGCCTCCATGTTGGTCCAGTGCATCTACCACGTGGCCTGTTTAAGGGGCGAACCAGCCGAGTAGCCCTAACGATGAGGCAACGAAGCCGGTATCTACTACTCCAGGTCAGAAGGCGGACACCATTCAACGGGCATGGTCTTTTACCCAGCGGGAGCGCAAGTGCATCCACCGACAGGAAATCAGGTATCAGAGAACTGCCAGCACGCACCAGGCTGCGAGTGCCAAAGTTTGCTGAAGAGCGGCATGGACTACGCAGATGAACCTTGAGACAGACTGCTCTGTATGTAGGCTAAGCCATCACCATTTAGAGGCGGGGTAACCATTCAGTCATAGACTGAGCAGCACTATCTCGACGTGACTGAAATATTTTGGGATTATACGGCACAATGATCAGTAAAACCTTGCTTGAATAATCTTTTTGAATCGAAAACACATTTTAGAATTTCGGCCAGCATTTCATGCGATAGCACATCTACTGTACATGCCGTATAGAGCTCAGATTGGGTGTGTCATTATTCCAGCGTAGTCGCAGGGTTCTTCTTCGTACTTCAGTTTTTCACGTGCAGGCCTCCCAGGTCTCCAGTGCCACACATGCTATGACGTAAGGCCCGTGAAAACTGACGTAACAAGCACCTTTTGTGCGAACGGACGTTCAGCCGATTTGGTGACATTTGGCCTATCCGGTTTCCTTGGTAGAGATCTAGATACCGATGCACAGCGACTGCCTTTTTTCACCCTTTCGAAGTTTGGACTTTCCTGGGCAAAAACAGATCGATGCTGGCATTTATTGCACTTCTTGACCTCGTAGATGGCTGCTAAAGGACTTTTAAGGGCGCTTTCGCGTGCGAACCAGCAAACGTCTTTCCTCGTCTGCAGAAAATACGAAATTCGCCCAGTCCCTTCCTAGCTATTGCATGAATGTATTTGTCTCTTTAGGTTCCTCTCGAGGGGTTGAGTCCCAAGATGTCCGGACAAATTGCCTGACAAAACTTCGAATGCGTTTTGTTTCAACTAAGTTCTAAAATGCGACGTCTGGCTTGGTAAAAGCCTAACGTAAGTGGGAACTACTTTCTCTATTGAGAGGCTGCAGCTCGTCAGTTGGTCATTTTCGACTTGCATTTGCGGCAAAACGAAAGTGAGACTCAATCTGTCCGATGAGTTCACTTACTACCTAGATATGTGAATAAATGTAGACAGATAGTTATGACTTTAAAACTCTTCGATAGAACCAGATTGTTAAACCCGCTTTGGAGCTTTAAACCACCTGAGATGGATTTATACCTACAAGGGCCAATGACGGATGCGAAAATGTGATACCTTCAGTATTAGGCCATTTTCACGCTGCTGACTTTGTACTGTGGGACTAGGGTTCAATGGCAAAAGTAAATAAAATCCTGATGCAGCTAGCTTTAAATGTTGTCACTAAAGATGAGCAATGGTAATACAGTCATGCGTAAGAAGGACCGCTGCCCTTAATCTGCGCCGAAAAGTCCGCATAAGATCTTTGAATGAGAATAAGTTCTACGTGTTTGTAACCGTGTTTGGCCCGCGTGTACGTCATGCCACCTGAGTGGGTAATCCACATGCTAAACCAGTTTATCACAGCCAATGACGATATTTCCGACTAACTGCATTTTTTCCGTGCCAGTAATGAACGATCTTCAAATTACTGAAAATACACATCTTGCTGTATGCAAGGCGTTTATTTTAAATCTCTGCTTAATCCATTCTAACTCCTTTCCATTTTAACAGAAAAACACTGAAGCCACTCTGCCAAACGTCATACAGTTAACTACAGCCCTAACGAAGTTGGCAGCCGACCCCGTTCTTTGGCCCCAGTTACCGTCTATGGGCGAAATAACCATTCGAATTCGAAGTCCCGATTTGGGGCTCACTAAGCAGACATTACGCATCCTGGATAAAAGTGCCCCCTTGCTCATTCTGATGCACATACTACTTGTCACTTTCTTTGGACTGTGACATCGACGTGATTACTGGAGTGAAAATATTCACAAGTGCCTATGAAATATCTCACTTTCTGCCTCTACAGGCGACGCAACTCGTGAAAGCCAATTAATAACGCAAAGACCCCCAAGTCAGCTCCTGAGCTTCAGCATGCGGACGCTTGAATGAACGTCTCCAAAAACACTTGAGCAAGTGTCACTCGCAAAACGTCAATTACTTAGAGTGTATTATTCCCGTAAACCCTCGAACCGTAAACTGCAATCAGCCGAGCTGATAAAGCAAGGTAACCGGATTTCACATAGTGGGGGCATTTCGAGCACAACGCACTTTATGTATCAGATTAACTAACTGCACAAATAGTATCCTCAACGAAATTCATGACTCTTTTGGTGAAAGTCGAAATTTCCTTGTGCTCTGGTGATAAAGAAAATTAATGAATTATGGCAGATCGCATTTGCACGCCGTACTCCTTCTTCTGGAAGAGCGGCCTCCCGACAGCTTAGTAAGCAGTGGCCTCATTAGAAATTTGAGTGATCGGTGGCCCAACTCAGTCGCAGGACGAAAGTGACCCGATTTCTGGATTCGCTGTATTTCCTGCAATGCGAAAAGTCAAACAGCTCATTTCGACCAGATAAGAGCAGTTTAGGAAAACAACCTTCGCGAACTTCAGCATCGACTTTTAATTCCACGTAGATCCCTTGAGACAAGGTTTGAATACTCATGTTTCTTTTAGAAAAATAGACGCTTGTTCGCCTTCGAGATTTCCAGTTTATATAGTGGGCTCAGATACCAACCGGTGATGTCTGTAGGTAACTTTTATCCTTACCAAAGTGACGATTTATAGATCTAAACAAAATAGACTAGAGGCGTGGGACAAATGGCCGAGAATTTATCTCCCAATTGGATTTCCACGTTAGTGATAAGGCGTTTTTATGCGGTTTATGCTCCACTTATACGCAACTCAAAAACGAAAAAGGCGTACTTCAAGTCGTTATATAACTATTTCGTGTCTGTATTTTGTAGTAGAACGGGACCTACGAAGGGACGACGAAGAAAAAGCCAAAATAATCAAAAGCATATCAGTCAGATAGGTGAAGACGCGAAGAATCCTTTCCGACGCTCTTTCCGACCCTACTTTTGGAAACTCTAAAGTATATCGAACTCACTGCTAAATAACATAGCAAGGCGTTTATTCTGGTAGTGAGCGTTTTCGTTTAGGCCAAGCAACAACCATCGTTCAGACCATAATCGGCGGAAAAACACCTTCCTGGAAATCACTACATAAGAAAATATTTGTTAAAATCACACTGTTTCGGCAGATGGTAGTGGTCGATTAGGCTGTCCTGGTCCCAAGTGGAGGCGGAATGTGGACAATTCAAGTAAGGCAAACCGAAGAAGGATGCTAGAATCGTTAGTGGAAAAGTAGCCAAAGCTAAGACGGAAAAGGGCAACCGGATGTCTCGGTTTAGAGGTTGGGTTTGGGTTAGTGTCAGGCTGAGAACTGAGTTTAGGTCCAGGGTTTATGGAGTTAATCAGTACTTAATTTTCCTGACTATGCTGCACATAACAGTCTTGGACAGATGGGTGGGAAGCATGCTGAAATCCATCTTCATAGACATAGGCAAATGGATACAATTGGGGCATAAGAGTGCGACACTTGTAGAATTTGGTAGTATGTGGGCGCGCGCCTCGTTACAAACATGGTCTGCATGCGTCGTGTATAGTCATGGCTGGGATTGTACTTCGGGCTGTTAACCGGCACTGCCAACTGAGAGATGCGCGTGTCACCGTTCATCTCCAGCCGAACTTGTCTCAGATGTGTACGTCAGCTGAGGCTTTCCAATGCTTTTTGGGCGACTTACCCAGCCTAGAACCAATTAAAATAACTGCAGCGTCACAACGATAAAAATCGACCAACTGGAAAAATTCACAGTTGTCAGTGTTCAGCGCGAAAAAGGTGAGGCACCTTGCCAATTAGAATCCGCTTCTGTGGATTAGTTTACTAAACTAGGCCCCTTCGAAATCTGTCCGGAATTTATGTTCTTCTTCTCATGCAATCACTTGTAACCTGCAAATATGGGGTTGGGTATGACTGGCTGACCGCGGTTAATAAGCCAAACACGGCCATCCCAGTCTCTCCTGTCTTTGTCGGCATTCCTTACTGTAACATTACCAGTCGCCTTGCAACTGCCTGCAAGGGCTCTAAATTTAGTCACAAGGCGCAAAGGGACAAGCCTGTCACGTGGCCTGATCGCAACCTATGTGCGTGTGTGGATTGGCGGATGGTGGCTGCAGTGGCTCTCTGTTAATGTGACCTCTATAACACTTCCCCACTCATTGGAATCACAGTCGCTCCCGTCTCTCCTATTAATGTAAAATCCTTGTCACTGTGCTTTGCGGGCCAGTTGGTGTGGTGGTATTGCCTAAGTGCGGGTTTACGCTGTGCCAACCATCGGCGTCCTCTCCCGCCTCCGGTCTTTTTGTCCATGTCTTGACACGGGGCCCGGAGGAGGAGGAGAAGGAGGAGAAGGAGGAGGAGGAGAAGGAGGAGGAGGAGGAGGAGGAGGAGGAGGAGGAGGAGGAGGAGAGAGAACTGTAGATGCTGCGCAAGTCTACTATCACTATAAACTAGTTCATGCCCAAGTCATCGCCTCAGTTTTCACCCTGCTATGGAGCACACGGTGGACGTCGTCGAAACCGCCGGTTGAGTTCCCATAAAACCTGGTCGGTGAATACCCATCCTACGGCTACTACGAAAAAACCATCAACGCTGGTCGTCGGCAAGAGGTTAATCCAGTGCACACAGATCTCATCCCACGTCTGCTAGACAAAATTAATTTTTATTTGCATGGTATCTTGGAGAATTTTGTAATGACACGCACACTTACAACTCACAAACATGAGGGGATTAATTGCATTAAGCTACCACCGTATCTGAAGGCTCAGGATTACCTACAGTTTCAGTGACCCACACTGAATAAACCACCTTTCCAATGAACACGGCACGATGTGGCAGTTTTACATTGGCTATTCGGGATATTGCTGTTTTCTACTAGTTAACTAGGGTGGAATAATGTTGATCATAGGCAAACAACCTCATTTTCAGACTCTGTCAAGGTTTTTAAACAGGTGGCATTGGTCGGAAGCTAACTGCTCATACTGACTTTTAGACACAAACAGATAGCACAAAAACGAGACAGCTCTCACAAGTGAAAACAAAATAGAGACGCCTTAATCTTCGATCATCTCTTCGAGAAAAGCTATCCGACCTCAATATCATAAAAGTTCCTGTCACGATCCAAGAAAAACAATCTAATTTATGTCACAGTAGATGTTTTCGGACTCAGTTTTTGTATTAATAAATTGGCTTTATCTTTATTTGGACTGCAAACATCTTCCAGTTTTTATTCAGTTCATCAGTTAAAGGCAATGTCGGAGTGAAATGTTAGCCATGCTCGACGTCTTCTCGCATCTGTGTTTAGCCGTCTGCGTGGTCGATGCATTTTTCTCCCTTTGACCTTTAAAAGAGCGTTTCAGACGCTCTAGCATCCATATCTACTTGCTCCCACTACGCAGAAACTAGAAATAGTTCTTTATGATAGGTTACTTCTAATAACGATAACACTGAACGTAATAGTAGAAGTAGCAGTAGTAGTAGTTATTGGCTTGGTCGGATGAGGTTTGGTAGCCCCACCTGAAGTAAACAAACCCAAGTCACCTGTAATACGGGACCGGTGGTAATAGGGTTTTTTACAGGTGGGGCCGAGGAACGCACAGGCGACGAGGTCAAGTAGTTGTATGCAAAGGAAAAGCTATTGGGAATGCGCGGTTGTACTTTGAATAGGTGAGAAATAGTTGCGCTAACCCCTCACCCTGACCCTAACCCCTAACCGTGACCTCTAACCCCAACTCCTGACCCTAACCCTTAACCCCAACCCCAACAGTATTGTGCCCATCAGGTGGGCCTACCTAACCACATCTTACCATTGGCTCTATGGTAATCTCCTGCACGTGAGATACCAGCGGCCCCTATTTCGTGAAAACCCGGCACATAGTGCGGAAGACCAGGACATGGGTGGCACGCATAAACAGGTTATTGCAGCCCCGTCAGTCATTGCACCAATGCCGGATGACCGACCGGCTCGAACAGTGGACTGGTGCGTAGGAGGGGGAAGACTGGTTCGAAGACTGAGAATCAGGGTCAGTGGTTCATTCTTACTGTAAACTCTATAACGTTCATTCGAGCATGGCAGCCGAGTCTCTCTTTTGTTTCAGTGATAACCTGACCCATTGTGCGAGGACAATGGCGGATGTGTCAAGCGTGGGCGGGTTATTTAACTTCATCAGTCACTGCGCCCGAGTCCCCCCCCTCCGGCAATTCTGACTCTGCCTTGCCACCGAGCCCAGGTGGGTGCGGCAGATGTCGCGCAAGTCTGCCATGACTCTAAACCAATCCACGCGCAAAGCACCGCCCTGTGCTCGGTGCGGAGCACACGTCGGAAATCGTCACACGCGATGGTTGAAATGTCGACTTTTAGTTTTCGGGAAAATCTAGACTAATAATCGCCTTGAAAGGAAAGGACTCAACCGTAATGGCAGCATTAGAATGGCATAAAAATCGGCCATGAGGCGTTCGTCCATACTTGCAGGCGGTAACTGATTTTTGCAGACCTAATTACTCACTGAACCCCGACAGAGTATTGACACTGGTATTAACCCAGTTGCACAATTAGCATTTGTGCGAAAATGCTAGTTAAACCGAAACGTCCCAGAGTGAGCCCACTGACCGGAGTTCACACCTTCAGTAGCACAAATCGGGTGCGCAAAATAAGTCCCTGTACAAGCACATGCATGCGTGCGCTCTGGCCGTCCTGGGAGATACTAGTCCGTCAACCAGGTTGCCGACCATGTCCGACAGAATTGATCGATAATGGGACGCTTTGTCATTCAGGGTCGTCGAAGGTGGTAGTGAAGGCCGTTAAAGTCATAAGCAACGCAGCCGATGTGTCACAGATTTTATGCGAATTCTGAATACTGCTAAATCATAAGGAATATGGCCTATTGCTGAACGCGCGCCGCTTCACTGATGCCTAGCAGTACTGACATACACTACTGCCAGCAGAAGTCAGGTTCTGTGTTCCCACTATCACATTGCAAAGAATTTCAATCATAGTGGTATAGTCTTCATATCGACTATTGCTGCAGTCAGTAAATATGAAGACTATTTCCAGTCCGGCCAGAAGTCTGCGGGATACTGAATGCATCTGTCTAAACTATGGTGTTATTCACAAAACAACATCCTGCCCAAACCCAATTGGAGAACGCAGTGCCAAGTGCCCACAGCAATCAGTCTGCACCCTCGAACGATAGCCTGCTTTTGCACGAAGCACAAGATGTAGGTGTCCCACCTAAAAGGTTGTAAAATGAAATTTTTCTGTACAGTATCTAAACAGATGCATTTTTATAGAAATGAAACAGTCTGAAAACTCGACAAACTGATAAGCTTCTCTCACAGTAGATCGCTTTCGGATGATATTGCAGATGCATAATCTAAGTAAGTACCCATAGAATTATGGTCGATATCGTCTTTAGCAGGACAACCGACATCAAGACCAACATCACGCTTGCCTGCTAAATTGTTTATAGACCGACTAAGGCCACTAGTGTAAAGAAAAAAGGGGTTGTGCTGACGTTAAAGAACTTAAAGTACACAGACATTTGCCGAAGAGATGACGACTGGTTCACACTAGATCAATGCCACCTCGGAATATATCACGAGCTCGTCCGACTGACGTCCTTATTCACACCTATTCCATCAGATTTTACGCAATAAAATCTGGAAGATACATACGACTGAAAGCAAAGTCTCGTGAGGCTGGTCACATTTGTCGGAATAACCTAGGAGCAGATAGAATGAGCTTCAACGGACTCCCCAGTCTCCGATTTAGCTGCACAACTGGCCTTAGAATAAGCAGAAAAGTGACAGCTTTAAGCCGACATGAGGTTGTATTTTAGTGACCTTTAGCTGACCGCGTTTTGCTATCGTCAGGAAGAGCATGGTGTAGAATATGCATGCGCAGTTCATTCTTCCGAAATACAATTCAACCATCTATTTACATGCAAAAGAAGCTGTGTTGGAACGCTCTTCCAACGGGTTTAAAATCGAGGCATAGGGCCGAAAGACAAGCTAGATGAGACCCGCTATCTCGTGTGTAGTGGCTATCCAAAATTCCTTATAGACTGACGGCTGCATGTTCCACTTCGGAGGACCGTAGCACGAAATCCACCGTTGATGTGGTATGCTGTGTCATGTTTTAAGGGCATTTCAGAGGTAATCGAGGACATTTACTGCTGGACCATGTATTAGGCTTGTACATCGATCCATAACTACCATATGCATCCGGGTCAGTAGGCAGTGTGGCGTGCTTTATCGTATCCCGTACGCATACATTTCTTCTATTTACACGGTAATATTGAGGGCAAGATCTGATCGCACATCAATAATCATAAGCCGGCTGTGTGATGGATTGACGAACTCTCATAAGTCGATTGTCCACATGCTGGATATGGTTCGCAAATTGAATTTTGCAGACTCTGTGACAAATGCTAATGGCTGCAGTTGATTGTATCCTGGGCCTGTGATTAGGGCTCAGTTAACCGGGATACGAATTTTTGGCCCTCATTCCGATTTCTTCACAGTCATCCCTGGACCCGTGACACTGACTATTGATTGGTTAAAGTTGGAAGGATGAAGAATGCTATGCCTTCACGTGTGTAACAGCCCGAAAATGTTAATCGCAGATATCATGTCACAGACATGAGTGATTACTGAATAAGGTGGTTTATTATCCGAGGTTTCAAGCACCAGGGCTCACCTCAAGTGACTCGCGGCCCACGTGGTTATCCACGTCCGTTGTGTAGATAACTGATGTCAACTGCTAACGAGACAGTGGACCTCTGTTCAGTCGTAACTGGTGTCACCCCATTTTCTTCCTCTGCAACGATAGCTGACCGGCCAGATGGTTGTACCCCCAGACCGACTTCTGTTTGACTTTGACTTTCTGTCAAGTATTCGCGCAAAACCACGCAAACGGAAGGCAAACTGGCTCAACTGATGACCGAGTCAGCCTCTGACAGTCACATCTCTTGTCAATGCTTTGTTATAGGGGCGCCCCTCGGATAACCAGCTTGATGAGACGAAAGTTGAAGTTTTACCCCTTTTGGGCGGTCAGGGTAGAAAAGAAAGACTCTCTATCATTTAAACAACGACTTTTATTTGCTCACTTTTTCGGATTTACAATGGTAATCAATTTATTTCTGACTAACTGTGCCATGGAACTCGTCTTCTTTTCTTGCTTACGTGAGCGCCCGAGTCGTAATCTGTGCGTCCGTGTTTAGCAGCAACAAGTGCTCATGCAACCCTCATCCATGATCCACAGCCGCATTCGCCAAATCATTTGATGTCTTCACAGCTATATTAAAGTTGATGGACGACGGGGGAATCCAACCAGCTCGGATCGGACTCAGGTTTTGATTATTACCTGCTAAAGGGATGATTGTGTCTGGCATGGTCACAGACGCACCAAGTACTAGACAAAG